GCTCCAGACTGTCGAATACGTGAACGAATTGCGAATGTCATGTGTCAAACTTGAAGTTAGCTCAGCCTGGGACCGGTGAAATTTGTTCAGAATCGGTTCCGAATCGTTGCTGGTGAAATCATGAAAATATAACGACAAAAACACATTTGTTTTTGCACTGATTCTGCAAATGGAAATCGCTATGAATTTGATACTGCTTGTCATATTTCTCAATTTGACAGCTGACACGTCGTCTGTTTCTGTTTACACTTTTTTCCCCGCACTCCCGCACCGCACCGTTTCTTATTTTTGGTTATTTAAGGCGATTGCTTAAGGCCATGTTGATATTATTTCTTAGAGTCTCCAACCTATTCCTATTACCTACCTGTTTGCAAAATTTCATCTCGACTGGTTTAGTAGTTTTCGAGATTTCGTGTTTAATCAGTCAGTCAGTCAGTGACTGAGTGAATTTCACGATTATATATATAGATTACTCTAAATTTTTAACATGAGTTACGTAAAAAGCTCTTACAGTGTAGATCGTACATATTAGAGTGAGTACCTATTTAACTATTCACTGATTACTGGTGATATATAAATAAAGTAACTATGCAACTTTTATATATTTTGTTAAATATTAGTACCTAGCAGTGACGGCTCGTCAGGGGAAGCATTGCCTCCCCTGCCGTAATAGTTATTTACCTAACAAATGCGGAATGTGATACTTTACCGCACGGTAAAGGCACTTTCCGCATGTGTTAAATACAAAATTTTACCTATGAGCATCTCCGAAAAAAGGCATTGATAAAATTGATCAATGAATCAGATATTAATTAATGAAATTAGAATAAATTTAGAAATTATCAAAAATCCATTTTCTGAAAAAGGAAGGATTTTTGATTATAAATATCAAATTTTACTTTACCGCACACTATGCGGTAAAGTGCACTTTACCGCACACTTTGTAGTACACTTTATCGCATAGTGTGCGGTAAAGTGCTACTTTCCATTCGCAAATACGTGCGGTAAAGTGCACTTTACCGCACGCTCTTAGGTAAAAGATTTTCCAAATGTTTTGAAAGCTTGAAATAAAAGTTTTTGGACGTGGCACTTGGAAAAAATTTCTGCCTCCGGCGGCGGGCTTAAAGAGGCTGTGACCCAAAGATGAAAGTTTTAGTGCAAAAAAAACTAAGAATAAATATTTAAACCGCATCTTGCTACGATGCTCCGTTTTCAAAGTAGGGCGGTTTAAATTTACAACTAGGCGTTTGTGACACTGGATTATCAGGGACAGTATTAACACGTGTAAGAATTTCCCAAAACAAAAGACAAGTATCTCCTAGAGCGAATTGCAACCTCTCAAAGTATATGGTACGGTTCACTGACGACTGAACGAACGAAACTGCGGTTTCGGAGGTTGTGACATCACAAGTTCCTGCATAATTTATCTTCACAAGGAATTTCTTCGGAAGGTATTTTGAATACAGGAGAATGGGAGGGTGGCAATGCTCCTCAAATTTTCGAAGGATTTCGCGTTCAATCCCCTTAATATATAGGTTGGTTTACTATTTGTGCCTTGGATACTTTTAAGGTACCTACGGTTTGTTAGGAGAGTGCGCAACGTAGAACTCACATTCTGTCGAACGCGTCGAACACGTCTGCTAGAATCAACCGAATGTAAATTATACAGGGTGTCCCACTAAGGTCTGCCGGGTACGATATTATGGAAACCATAGATCTTACGTAACTTGAAAACGAATGCAGATATTGAATTGCGGTATGCGGGAAAATGTAGATATTTTTTTGCTCTTTAAACACAGCAATAAAAAAATAATATCCTGCCATTTGGATTTTTCATGAAAATTTGAAAAAACTGTCTTGGATAAACAACGCCCTCTAGAAGACGCGGTGAGAACTATCGACTCCAAACGAAGTGGTGTTCTTAATACCAATGAAATTCTCTTTCAAATAAGCCTAAATTGAATGAATTTGGATGAGGGGTATGGAAGATACAGCAATTTCTAAAACTATTTTTTTCCACTTTGCGCACTCATTTGCGTGCGCAAAGTTCAACTTTGCGCACGGAAACTCTTTGCGCACTCATTTTTGTTACGCATAATTACCATAGTTATACTTGATTTTTCAATGTTTTGATGGTTTCTGAATAAACTAATATTCATAATGAAGGGTTTTAGTTGATATTAGCGCTTAGTTAACATGATGTTTCCTATCAAAGGTGTCCAAATTGGACCAGCCTGTACTGCTAGGAATTTGTACAATTTTTGATATTTGAGAGACTCTCATGAAAATATTCTAGCTGGTATTCTAAAAATTCCAGAAGATGTTAAAAGATTTTTTGGGATTTTAATTTAAGACATTCTAAGGAATTCCAATAGATTTTAAACGATTTTTGAAGATTTTGATTTGATTGATTTTTCTAATATTGTAATAATTCAAAGTCTACTTTTTTAAGATATTCGTAGAAAAAATATTGTTCCTAACACTTGCGCAAAGTGTCTTTCCCGCACTCAAAGCTTATCCGAACTCCGCTTCGCGTCGTTCGTCTAACTGCTTTTTCGTGCGGGAAAGTATCACTTTGCGCACTTGTTAGGAAAATAACTATTTTCCCAGCTTCCCCCTCCCTCATTAGTGAAGATACGGAAAAAGGCTGAATACCAAATTGGCGTAAAAATTAATGAACTTCTGATTTCAGGTGTTAAAACAGTACCTTAATATAGCGATTTCTTGGGAAATTTTGAATTTTTAGCTAAGGTAAACGCTCCTATTATCGGCACCTTAAGCACCTTACATAGCCTAGGGCATAGTTTTGTTTCATTTTAGTAAATAAAATACCCGAACATCCAATATTTTGATTATCGATTTTGATGACAAAAGGCATCATATTACATGTGAATTATTTATTTCAACCCAAAACTAATGCGTAATATTTATTGAAAGCAATAAATATAAAAAAATGTTATGCCCTTATTAACGGCATCCTAAAAAAAAAATCATGTTCCAATTTTCGGCACCCAAAAGATCCTTTTATCGGCACAGAATCAGGTTACCCAAATTCTATTAAGTTGTCTATAGTCATCAATGCAAAAAGGTGATACAACTAAGAAAGTTCCTACTTCTGTGAACCATTGACAAATGCGATTTTCTGTTAGGGTATTTCTAACACACGTGAGATTTTGGGAAATTCTTGCATCAGTTCCGGGTGCCTTTTCAAAAATAATTCGTACCATTAATGGCCAGGCCTTCGATCTTTAAAATTATTAGGTCTATCCATCTATATCTATATCTATTCTCTAGCTAGTAGTTGGACACTATCTAACAACTGTGTTTTCGTTGCGTTGCAAGAAATCCACAGTCCGCAATTCGATATAGCCATGCTGCTACCAGTAAATTTTCTTCTTCTTTTGCTTCTGGTCCATATTTCTTCTCTAAAAGTGTTCTACCCTTTACTTTATCTTCTGATACAACAGCGTCATTGCTGTACTAATAGTTTCAACAGAATATTGAATTCGTTTTTTCTATTCCATTGCGACCGTTAAAATAGTATATTGTGTATTTAGGTGGAAAAGTGACACATTCTCGGCCGACGGTGTAAGTTGACGGGCGAGGCGTAGCCGAGGCCGGCAAACACCGAAGGCCGGCAAACACCGAAGGTCGGCAAACACCGAAGGCCGGCAAACACCGAAGGCCGGCAAACACCGAAGGCCGAGAATGTGCTTTTCCACCGAAATACACATACTATTTTTTCTGCGATCGGTTAAATATCTGTTAAATGTTTGTCTTTTTGTTCCAATTGTTCAGCAATACGAGAATTGTTATTCATCGATTCCTTAGCAACTATTGAAAAATAATTAAAATACCAGAATATTGAGTTTTGCGACCTGTCAACCTGTCAAATATGCTGACATTTCTTGTCAATCGCAGAAAAAATACATTTCTAATTATCGGCACGTGAATGTGTGTATTATCGGCACAGTTTTCAAGTTAAACTTTTTTTTAACTATCTTTCGGTAGAAACCTTATATTTAAGGGTTGTACAGAATAAGTGCCGATAATTGGGGTAGTGCCGAAAAAGGAACTTTTACCTTATATCGTCGTAATTGCGCCCCCTGGCAGTCATCTCAGAAACTTGAAAATAATTTCCATCAATTTCTCTTGGCCGATTTAGTGAAGAAAAAAAAAAATCCCGAAGCCGTAAGGTCTATAGTTTCCATAATATCGTACCTGGCCGACCTTAGTGGGACACCCTGTATAAATCAGTTTGTTGGCTTTGCTCAGTTGAGCGCGACGTACAACATTAGCAGTATATCAGTGCTGAACAGATTCTGCCGACGTTTATGTTGTAAGTTCTGCCCGGGGCTGTTGTGGAGTTACGGCCCAACTAACCAAAGAAGCCAAAAACTTCATCCACAATTTTGTAAATGATGTCCTTCATTGTGGATTTGGTTTGCGCCATTCCGATGAAATTTTGAGGTAGTATCCCTACCTTTATGCCAGCTATTTGGCTGAAGCCCAGAATGAAAGTTGATTTTTGTACATTTGAGTTGATTTTCTTAATGGGGATATCGGGCGTACTCCCTTCTGGACAGACCCTTTTCCGCCCTTTTGCATTCAGCCGATCGTGAAGTACCTAGCGTTTCTGAACCTTGAACTATTTTTAAACTAACTTTGTAGCTTCAAACTTGGAGGTTTCAAAGGTTTGAACATTTTTCTACTAAAGATCTATAGTTTTAGGGTTCTTGCACTTATAGCCACCCCATTATTCAGAAAAATTTCGAATGGCTGCGGACAGCCTTGTTCGAATGTGATCTCAGCCTATTTTTTTAAGAAATATAATAATATACAGATTTTGCTGCCCTTTAAAAAATAAATGAAACTCTATATAACATATATTGATGTAGTTTTGATCCCGCAATGCAAATCAGAATTTGCTTTTGAAATAGCAAAAAGACAGTAAATGCAAAAAAAGGGTATAACATTTTTTCGATAAAGTTTATTTGAAGATCAAATAAATTTTGCTTAAGCAAGTGGTGATCCATCGATTACGGGACTTTCTGTTGACACCTGTGGATCTACATCATCTATTTCTGGTATTGTATCATCGTTGCAATTATCTTTGCCATTACAGGTTTTACAGTACAAAACTTTCAAATCTTGTTTTTTTAGTTCTTCGCAACCACCTTTCCAGCATCGACGGAGGAATAAAGGATGGGTTGCGTTGGCTACAAAAAAAAATATATATTTTACAAAGTAACGTGCAATTTTGGTTGAAAAATACCAGTCAATAAGACTGGTAAAGTCTAAGGGGAAAATTATATTAATAAAACTATACCTATGGAGAAAAAAACTGTTATAGAAGGTCGACCCTGGCACATTAGCCAAATAATCAAAATATATATGTAAAAAAAAAATGTATACAGAAATAGTTTTGTGCAGATTCTGAATATTAGACAAACATATTATTATAAAAAATATAAGTTTAATCGGATTAGTAGGTGACTTGTCAGACAATAGTCACACCCTTTGCAGTTCTTACATCATCTACTCTAGGCAAAGTGAAATTGAAAATTGTGAAATAACTTATAGGGCCGCTAGATCAATTAGATGGTAAGTGTTTGTTATCAAACAATACCTTAGCATGTGCTATGTGATAATAATGTCTTTTTTTTTTCTCTCTCATCATTTCCTAACCAACTACAAAATTTATTATAGGAAATATATACAATTAAGAGAAAATATCTTCCTTTACAAACGGAAGGAAAATAAAAAAAAAATAATAATAATATTTATTTTTCATATACAAGACGATAAAATGGTAGTTTATCGTTGACCGGAAAAGTTAATTCACGAGCGAAATCGCGAGTGAATTAATTCCGAGAGACGATAATGGCATTTTATCGTCGTGTCTAAAACAAAGCTTTTTTCCATTTAATTATGGACGCCTGTAGTATCAAAAATTTTTAGAAATTATTCGACTCGAACACTTTTGCATAAGTAGAAATTCGTTTGACAAACTTTGACAAATAATTAAAAAACAAAATATGTACATAACATATTTTTGACAAAATAAACGTCTTCATCTATCCTTGCTGTTAAAGTATCATTTAATATACTCTTGCGGTTGAAGTACTACTTTATCTACTATTTCTATTAGATTGAAGGCTACTTTACCAGTAGCTATGGAAAAAAAAACAATAAACCTGATTGAAAAAAGGCAATGATAATACAATTGATAAATTGAGAAAACAAAGAAAGGATATAGTCTAGGAAAATAGTCGAAAAATACATGTATTGCAAAAAAAAAAAAATCCTACCCAAATGAACTTTTCAGGGATGATAGAGGGCGGGTGGGTCTTTCTACAACTCATACAAGATTTTTGCTTTATGAAGTTTTTACTCACCCCCTGCCGTTTTTCAATAGGGGTAGTTTAAAGTTTTTTAATTTTTTTACAAAAAAATTTTCTCAATAAAAGCTTTATAAGATGACATTTTCTACAATTTTTCCTAATCAACTTTTTTTGTAACTCACCCCCGTTCAGCGGAGGGACACTTCCCTCGGGAAAATTTTAGTTTTTAGGGGTATATATTAATTTTTTTTTTCTTTTCTCGCCTTAAAAAGTTGCAATTAACATTGTTATAAGAGGGAGTTCGCCTATTTTCAACTTTACAAAAAAAAAACTATAAAGAAAACTTGTTCATTTTTTATTTTGAGCAACTTTTCTTCATAACTTTTTTTTGTAAAGTTGAAAATAGGCGAACTACCCCTAAAAACAAAAAGGTGGTGGAAAAAAAATCCTTTTAATAGAACGTTAATTGCACCTTTTTATAAGCACTGTAGGCGAGAAAAGAAAAAATAAATTAATGTATACCCCTAAAAACTAAAATTTCCCCGAGGGAAGTGTCCCCCCGCTGAATGGGGGTGAGTTACAAAAAAAGTTGATTAGGAAAAATTGTATAAAATGTCATCTTATAAAACTTTTATTAAGAAAATTTTTTTGTAAAAAAATAAAAAAACTTTAAACTACCCCTATTGAAAAACGGCAGGGGGTGAGTAAAAACTTCATGGAGCAAAAATGTTGTATGAGTTGTAGAAATTTTTTTCACGTTGGTTAAAATTTTTCATTCTTATTATAAAATTTCAAACGGCCCTTATGACCACAGACGGCCCTTAATCAAAAAAATATTTAGATAAACATTGTAGATCAAATAATGTTGCACATCTTTTATTTGAAACATTTTTTTGTAAAATCAATAAATACCAAATAATCGCCAATGGCGGACTTTCAACCCCTATAGCGCAAAACGCCAGAGGGGTGAATGTTTGATATTTTTGATTTTATGATCACCCACCCTCCCCTTATCATCCCTGAAAAGTTCTTTTGGGTAGGATTTTTTTTTTGAAAATCGACAATTTTCCTAGACTAATACCATATCCATCCAATCAACCAATAACGCTATTATTAAAATAGTTTTTTTGTATGTTTTTTAAAAAGTTTTATGTTTTGAATTGTTTTAATGTTTTCTGGGAGGCTATTGTAGTTCAATATGCCGTTACCTATGTAATATTGATCTTTTTCCAAAATTGCTTTTCATTGATTTTACTAAAAAATTGTTATTTACTCTTGTATATTATGTTGATATATGCTATTTTGTTCTTCAAGAATTATGTTAGAGTTTTTATCCCCGTTGTTAATTGATTTAAGAAATATACATGTTTTCAATTTATAAAGGCCATTAGGATTTAAATATCCATAAGGTTTATTTAAGTTTACAGATGATTCTAAGTAAGGCAATTTATGTATACATTTGATAATCTTGTTTTGCATAATTTGTAATGGTTTCAGAGATGCGAAAAATTGGTAGAACCTCATATTGAAGTCAGATATTGCAGTTTCGAATAAAACAAAACAAAATTATAGGTCTATAAACCTAGCAGTCCCAAGGTGGATAAAAACTTCGGGAACTATATAATAATTAGGTGCTTTTTAGGTGCTAATTAGGGCCTCTAATTAAAAATTAGGTGCACCTTTAGTTTTTGAGAAAATCAAAAAAAAACTAAGGGACTGCTAGGTTTATGAAAGCTAGTAGTCCCCTATAGTAAAAAATATGTTTCCAAAATTTTCTTTTGTATCAGAATTAGGTGCTTTTGAGGTGCTCCTAAATAGTCCAAGAAAAAATAGAATTGATTAATTATTAACTGAGTTACAGATTTTTTTTTAATTATTAGGGGACTACTGGATTTACGTTTACATGTTGGTGTGTCAGCATGGAAAAAAAACTTCGGGATCTATATAATAATTAGGTGCTTTTTAGGTGCTAATTAGGGCCTCTAATTAAAAATAGGTGCTCCACTGGTTTTTGAGAAAATCAAAAAAAACTAAGGGACTGCTAGGTTTATGAAAGCTAGTAGTCCCCTATAGTAAAAAATATGTTTCCAAAATTTTCTTTTGTATCAGAATTAGGTGCTTTTTAGGTGCTCCTAAATAGTCGAAGAAAAAATAGAATTGATTAATTATTAACTGAGTTACAGATTTTTTTTTAATTATAAGGGGACTGCTGGCTTTACGTTTACTTGTTGGTGTGTCAGAATGGCAAAAAAACTTCGGGATCTATATAATAATTAGGTGCTTTTTAGGTGCTAATTAGGGCCTCTAATTAAAAATTAGGTGCTCCTCTAGTTTTTGAAAAAATAAAAAAAAAAACTAAGAGATTGCTAGATTTATGAAAACTAGAAGTCCCCTATAGTAAAAAATATTTTTCCAATTTTTTTTTTTTATCAGAATTAGGTGCTTTTTAGGTGCTCCTAAAAAGTCGAAAAAAAAATAGAATTGATTAATTATTCACTGAGTTATAGATTTTTTTAAAATTATTAGGGGACTGCTGGCTTTACGTTTACTTGTTGGTGTGTCGGAATAGCAACAAAACTGAGGTGCTTTTTTAGGTGCTAATTAGGGCCTCTAATTAAAAATTAGGTGCTCTTCTAGTTTTTGAGGAAATAAAAAAAAACTAAGGGACTGCTAGGTTTATGAAAGCTAGTAGTCCCCTATAGTAAAAAACATTTTTCCAAAATTTTCTTTTGTATCAGAATTAGGTGCTTTTTAGGTGCTCTTAAATAGTCGAAGAAAAAATAGAATTGATTAATTATTAACTCAGTTACAGATTTTTTTTTTAATTATTAGGGGACTACTGGCTTTGCGTTTACTTGTTGGTGTGTCAGAATGGAAGAAAAACTTCGCGATCCCTATAACAATTAGGTGCTTTTTAGGTGCTAATTAGGGCCTCTAATTAAAAATTAGGTGCATTTCTAGTTTTTGAGAAAATCAAAAAAAACTAAGGGACTACTAGGTTTATGAAAGCTAGAAGTCCCCTATAAAAAATATTTTTTCAAATTTTTTTTTTGTATCAGAATCAGAGCACCTAAAGAGCACCTAATTCTGATACAAACGAAAAATTTGAAAAAATATTTTTCATTTTAGGGGACTGCTAGTTTCCATTAACCTGGTAGTCCCTTTGTTTTTTTTTTTGATTATCTCAAAAGCTAAAGGAGCACCTAATTTTCAATTAGAGGCTTTAATTAGCACCTAAAAAGCAGCTTATTATTATATAGATCCCGAAGTTTCTCTCCATTCTGACACAAAAAGTAAACGTAAAGCTAGCAGACCCCTAATAATTAAAAAAAAATCTATAACTCAGTTAATAATTAATCAATTCTGTTTGTTCTTCGATTATTTAGGACCACCTGAAAAGCACCTAATTCTGATACAAAAGAAAAATTCGAAAAAATATTTTTTATAATAGGGGACAGCTAGCTTTCATAAACCTGGTAGTCCCTTAGTTTTTTTTTATTTCCCCGAAAACTAAAGGAGCACCACATTATAAAGATTTCGAAGTTTTTTTCCAGTCTGACACACCACTATTGAAGGTAAAGCCAGCAGTATCCTAATAATGAAAAAAAAATCTGTAACTCAGTTGATAATCAATCACTTCAATATTTTCTTCGACTATTTAGGAGCACCTAGAAAGCACCTAATTCTGATATAAACGAAAAATTTGAAAAAATATTTTTTACTATAGGGGATTACTAGCTTTCATAAACCTAGCAATCCCTTAGTTTTTTTTTGATTTTCTCAAAAACTAGAGGAGCACCTAATTTTTAATTAGAGGCCCCAATTAGCACTTAAAAAGCACCTAATTATTATATAGATCCCGAAGTTTTTTTCCATTCTGACACACCAACATGTAAACGTAAAGCCAGCATTCCCCTAATAAATAAAAAAAAATCTGTAACTGAGTTAATAGTTAATCAATTCTATTTTTTCTTCGACTATTTAGGAGCACCTAAAAAGCACCTAATTCTGATACAAAAGAAAAATTTGAAAAAATATTTTTTATTATAGGGGACATTTAGCTTTCATAAACCTAGCTGTCCCTTAGTTTTTTTTGATTTCCCCAAAAACTAAAGGAGCACCTAATTTTTGATTAGAGGCCTAAAAAGCACCTAATTATTATAAAGATTTCGGAGTTTTTTTCCATTCTGACACACCACTAGTAAACGTAAAGCCAGCAGTCCCGTAATAATGAAAAAAAAAATCTGTAACTCAGTTAATAATCAATCGCTTCAATTTTTTCTTCGATTATTTAGGAGCACCTAAAAAGCACCTAATTCTGATACAAACGAAAAATTTGAAAAAATATTTTTTACTTTAGAGGACTGCTAGTTTCCATTAACCTAGCAGTCTCTTTGTTTTTTTTTTTTTTTGATTATCTCAAAAACTAAAGGAGCACCTAATTTTTGATTAGAGGCCCTGATAAGCAGTAGTAGCCCTTATTAGCACCTAAAAAGCACCTAATTAATATTATTACATAGACCCCGAATTTTTTTTTCTATTCTGACACATCACCAAGTAAAAGTGAAGCCAACAATTTCCTAATAATGAAAAAAATCTGTAATTCGGTTAATAATTAACTGATTCAAGTTTTTCTTCGACTACATATTTAGGAGCACTTAAATAGCACCTAATTCTGATACACTATTTAAGAGCACCTAAAAAGCACCTAATTCTGATACAAAAGAAAATTTTGGAAAAATATTTTTCACTATAGGGGACTACTAGCTTTCATAAACCTAGCAGTCCCTTAGTTTTTTTTGATTTTCTCAAAAACTGAAGGAGCACCTAATTTTCAATTAGATGCTCTAATTAGCACCTAAAAAGCACCTAATTATTATATAGATCCCGAAGTTTTTTTGCCATTCTGACACACCAACAAGTAAACGTAAAGCCAGCAGTCCCCTAATAATTAAAAAAAAAATCTGTAACTCAGTTAATAATTAATAAATTCTATTTTTTCTTCGACGATTTAAGAGCACCTAAAAAGCACCCAATTCTGATACAAAAGAAAATTTTGGAAAAATATATTTTACTATAGGAAACTACTAGCTTTCATAAACCTAGCAATCCCTTAGTTTTTTTTGATTTTCTCAAAAACTAGAGGAGCACCTAATTTTTAATTAGAGGCCCTAATTAGCACCTAAAAAGCATATAATTATATAGATCTCGAATTTTTTTTTGCTATTCTGATACACCAACATGTAAACGTAAAGCCAGCAGTCCCCTTTTAATTAAAAAAACATCTGTAACTCAGTTAATAATTAATCAATTCTATTTTTTCTTGGACTATTTAGGAGCACCTAAAAAGCTCCTAATTCTGATACAAAGAAAAAATTTGAAAAAATATTTTTTACTATAGGGGACTGCTAGCTTTTATAAACTAGAGGAGCACCGGAGCACCTAATTTTTAATTAGAGGTTCTAATTAGCACCTAAGTTCCCGAAGTTTTTTTCCACCTTGAGACTGCTAGGTTTATAGTCCTCAAAATAATAGCTACTAATTAGTTTTTCATTCTATTTCCGGAGTAGGTACATTTGCAGTTCATCTACAATATGATCGATTTTTAGACAGTAGGATTGTCGCAGAAATTGACCGTTTTTTGTATGACTGGATATTATTGTATAGTTTTTCTTTCAGATTACTCCTTCTTTACTCGATATTTTTATTTAGCTACTCAGTTCTGGTATCAAAAAAGTTGGGTTTTTTACTTACTCTTGCGATCGGTTAAGAGTACCGAAGCAGATATGCATTGGTTTATAGGTCTGGGGCACCCATAACTTCTTTGAGCAGGAACACACTCTGATATATCTTGCGAACGACAATAGTGACATCTCTCCTGGTAGTCCTCGTCAGCTAAAATATCTGAAACGAGTAAATAGTTATTTATGACTAGTGTGTTATGTTCGAGATAAGTCACGGGAGAAAAATGCATACCACGAGGCCGTCATGTCAGGCCGAGTACGTAAAATTGGGTAGGAAATGATATTAATGTTTGACGGCAGCTTCTGGGATGCGGATGAAATGATTTGTTCGGCATGGGCTGGAAATATTAGTTCCAGCTTGTTTTCTTCCATTTTTTGGAACCAACCTTGCATCTCGAATGATCTTGATGCCTTCATTCAATTGTTTATTCTAGTCTCCGTTTCAGCCTAGAAAAATACCACCAGCGATGCCTAAGAAGGATCCTACAGATTAAACGGCCAGACCGAAGAACGAACATAAGTGTTAGAGGAGGCCAACCCCACTAAATTGGAAGCTCTAACATCAAGCACTAACTTCGCTTGACAGGTCATCTCGTTCGCATGCCCGAAATACGTCTTCCACGACAAATTCTCTACAGTCAGCTGAAAGATGAAAAACGAAATCAAGGAGGTCAACAAAAACGCTACAAAGATGTTCTAAAGGAAATTTTGGCAAAGTGCCATATTGATATCAGCAACTGGGAGTCGAGGACAAATGACAGGCCCTTGTGGAGCGAGTAGTCCACGATGGACCACAAACTTTTGAAGTACAGCGACGCAGACACGGGATCTAAAAGAGGGAACGCGGGAAGGAGCAAGAGATCAGAGGAAGAGACAATGCTGTCAGAGATTGGGTGGGCCAAGACTGTGGAAGAATGTGCGGCTCCAGACTTGGTTTATAGCCATCAGAACACGCACAATCGACGAAGAATAGAATAGAAGAATATCATACTCGGTGTCGAGTGATTGCCTAGATGATGATGATGAATATTCAACATGCCTAATAAATTTGAGGGTTTAATCACAGTTCATGCAACTGAACCTAGGATAATGCATTCATACGTTGAGCCAATGAAACGGCATACATTAAATTGAAAATTCGATTCAATAAACCATTGTTATTTGTACATTATATTGAATAAGTTATTTCACTCAAGCAATGAATTCTATACGTCAAAATGATTGAATCCTTATTCTGCGACAATAAATTCAACCGTTAAATCAATGAACCTTTTTTTCATCTATTTAACGAACAGCTGTTCATAATATTAACAACTTCGTTCACCGGCTCAATATTAATGACGAGATTCACTGGCATAATACACTTTTTCGTTATATTTGTGAATCTTTTTTTTTCAGTGAATATACAGAATACTCGGGCCCGTCACGGTGTAGCATGAATCATCCTTAACTCTCTTTGGTTTTTGTCAAGCTCGTCTACAGTTTATTTTTTCCCAAGATAGATTTTGAAATAGTCAACTTTGAAGCATAAGCAATGCTGCTTATTGGTCGCAAGTTGCCATTTGCATGACATGCATTGTAAACTGTTGTCAACCTGCAGGGACACCTCATTTTGCGACGAATTGCAGCCAAGCGGTATTGTTTATGTTTCATAGTTTTAAATTTCAAAATCCTTCTTGGGAAAAAATACACCATATACTCGTACAGACTTCGCCATTGATTCCAAATATCTCCTGGTTGATTTTTTTGGCTGACTTTTATTTTGATTAAAGTCTACATGAACATGGGTATGGTGAGCTTTATTGCAGATTGGACATCGACCGGTGGAGGTGCATGTTATATTGTCATCATGATTGGAACAATTAATACACAGTTTCTTCTCCTTAACTGTGCTCAAGTGTGCAGAGGAAGATAAGGCTTGAAACTTGGTACAATTATTTATTGATTGCGATTAATGCGAACAATATTTGCATCTAGCATCCGTAATTTTGTTGGGTTTAACTGGTAAAATCTTCGGAGAATCTGAGATGGCTTCTAGTGATTGAAATCTTGCCTGTAGAAATATTTTCATTTCGACAAAATCTTGTAATTTATGGGGCTCTTTTAATGATTGTTCGTATGGTTTGTTTGCCTCAGATTTTTGTTGGGAATCATGGTGATTCACTTGGTAGGTTGAAATGTTTCCAAACTTTGTCCTACTGGGCGGACGAAAGCTCCTGAAATAGTTACAGATTCCGATCTTCTCGGTGTCAAAATATTTTTCTTTGTTTCAATGACGCAATTTGATGAAATTTCGATAATTGCGGTCTGGTTTATTGTGGCCTCTTCTCTGATACCATCGCAGATAATCGCGTTTTTTAGTTTATTGGTAATTATTGCCATCCATGCATTTGGAGTATAAAGCTGTTTCCATACCGCTGACTGGATGGAATAGCCTCGAGTTTGGCATGATGTATTTTCAGTTCTTCGGTAAACATCATGCAATTGGGCGGACTTAAGGCCGTCTCACAGTTCGGAAAAAAGATGTTTTGTAATGAAAAAGGGAGTGGAAAATTTTACTTACAGTCTATTTCAACGAAAATTAATGCAGCAAAGACCAATCTCAGAATTGTGGACATTTTTTTATTAAAACCTTTATCGGGGTAGGTACCAAATAGGGATTACTGTTCAACTATCAATAGATAGGTAGGTACCCACCTATTCGTTTTATACAGGTATACGTTTGATAATTTTTGGGAAATAGTTATTATCAGGCCAATTATCGATAAGTCGGAAGTAGTAAGGTATTTATTTTAATAAGTATATTTTTTAATTTGACAAAACATATATTGATGCCTACTTTAGTACAGTCAATTTATATTTGAGACTGGAAAAACTATTCATGTAACGTGAATTCTGATTAGGCAGAGAAAAATTCAATTTTCACTCGATAACAACGGATGCTAAACCAAATTACTCCAAAAGGTTGATAATCGGAATGAGCCATATAAATCTAATTGATTGTGATAATCTCAGAACTGATACTCGAGAAGTATATAGTATTCTTATAATAATCCTATAATTTTACAAGGACCATTTTCTGAGCAAATTATGATGTGATCGAATGTGAACGTTTCGTACCTACTGATTGTTGTCAAAATTAATCAATATTTCCACCTTTCAGACTTTTAATTTTAATTGTAGATATGTTTCAACAGAGGTGTGTTTGGTTACTCCGTGGATCATGAAAACTAAATTCTTTTTAGTGAATAAGTAATTGCTTTGTAGTTTTCCCAAAATCATTATTTATTATTATTAATGCACAGAACAGGAAATATAATAAAATAAATTATAATAATCCGAAATCAGTTTTCGCTCGAAAGCAGGTACTATTTTGAACGATGCAAAAACAAGCTATAACCGCTCTTAACTAAACGCAATCATTGAATCGATTCTGAGTCGATTTTATGCAACTCAAACACTCCAAACCCATTTTTGACAGTTCCGAACTAGTTGTAGCGATAACTTGAAAATGTACCTAAGATGGCGATTCTAAAACAGTTGGTGACACGCTGAGGATTTTATCTTTTGGTCCTTTGTACCACAAGTATAACAACATATTGAAAATTCAGTGTTCCTAGAATTTATTGGATTGATCTACTATTTTCGAGGACAAAATTACTGTAGTACCGTAATCTACCTACGTTGTTAGAGCTAATAGTCGTGGATATTGATTACTATTAACAATTTTGTATGCGCTTGCCGATGATGCACGCGTGTACCTGATCGCCAATTTTGCTGATCGGTATGGTGATACCTATTTTTTTCATATAATAATTACGAGGACTTATACCAATTATCAAATTCTTACACTGGCTTATTGCCAGTCTACCTCACGGATTCTGGGAGGGGGACATAATTCGACTAACAAGCACATAAAGCCCAAAAAACTATCACCCCCAAATAAATGCCTAGATATATTTTGCCACAACATCTGCCCTATGAGGCTGGATGAACACCTTGAAAGCTTGGAGAATGAACTTGGACACATAAAATAGGATGTGGTCGGGATTAGTGAAACAAGATTAAGTGGTGAAGCTAGTAGCATTCTGTAGTCCGGACATCTGCTATTTCAAAGAAACCAGGAAACCAATTCTCACATTGGAGGAATAGCCATCATAATACATAGAAGAATTAAACAATTTATTACTAAAACTCGTGCAATCTCAGGCACATATGTCATGATACAGCTAGATACACAGCATACAAATAATCCAAACATACGTTCTGACCAGCAAATCTCCAGAAGAAGAATGCGAACAATTCTACGAAGATATATCAGTAGCAATGAACTGTGAAAGAACAAAATCTAAGATAATATTAGGAGATTTTGATGCGAAGATAGGACGTCGAAATACATCAGACTCGCATAACATCGGCAATTTTGGGTCAGGAGAACGAAATCATAGAGGTCGGGTAATGCTAGACTTTCTCGGTCGTGAAAATCTCTACTGCTTGAACATCTTTTTCAAGGGGCGATACGAATCTGGTCACATCGATCAGGTAATTAGAATTTTGGGGAATGAAACTGGTCACAGGTCGAAGAAAGTACCTGAATACACATAATTAAACTGGACACGTTTTATTAGGGTACAGAAATGTATTTATATTAGTAGTAAGTACATATTATTAACAAAAATTGAAAAATAAATACCTACAGTGTGTCTCGCTTAAGGACTGGCCACCCTTCTAAAATTTTTATTTTTCAACCGATTCAATTCATTTTTTTTTGTCTTGTAGCTACTCGAATTTGGCACTTATTAGGCTCATAATTTTATTTCTACGGCTGCACTGGTTTACAGGGTGTCCACATTCATAGGCTCAAATTTCAATAAGTAGTATTAGGGATTTTTTAAGAAAAAATCTGATAGCGAATTCTTGTTTAGAATGGTCTAAAACCCTAATGTACCAATTTTTGTTCCAATGGGATACAGGATGATCACAACAAATTTTCAAAATTTATTGAACCAAACCGGAAAAATTTCATATTTTGAGGCCTTGAGAACAACAAAACTTGATACAACATAGTTTTAGAACATCCTTAACCAAAACTTGTAGTAAGCTTGTCTCAAAATATAAAATTTTTACGGTTTGATCCATTAAATTTTAGAAATTTGTTGTGATCACCCTGTATCCTATTGGAACAAAAATTCGTACACTGGGGTTTTAGACCATTCTAAACAAGAATCTGCTATCAGATTTTTTCTAAAAAAATCCCTAATAGTACTTATTGAAATTTGAGCCTATAAATGTGGACACCCTGTAAACCAGTGCAGCCGTAGAAATAAAATTATGAGCCTAATAAGTACCAAATTAGAGTAGCTAAGAGACAAAAAAAAAATGAATTGAATCGGTTGAAAAATAAAAATTTTAGAAGGGTGGTCAGTCCTTAAGCGGGACACACTGTATATAAAATTCTTATTTTATTGTGGCACAATATATGTGTGCCACAGTTTTTACATCACAAAATGTAGAGTGCTAATCTTGTTTTCGTTGAGGTTTAGTTCCTATTTAAAGTATTATTTCTACAAATATTAACTTTTTAAAAAAACATTAACTGAATAAAATAGAATCAGAATCAGAATATCTTTATTTTAAAGAAACATACAAAAGAGATTATAAAAAACATCAATTGTTGTTTAACTAAATAGTGTCAAAATATATACCTAAAGTTAAATTTAAATTTGAGTTTTACAACGATAAGTATTCTCTAAATAAAAGAGTTAAAAAAGGAACATTTTAAAATTTTCTCCAGAATATAATTTGAATATTTATAAAGTAAATTGTGCTTACAGTCAAACAGTAAAAAATAAGTCATCAGTACATACATAGTTAAAAAGAACAAAAGAGTTAAAAAGACAGGTACTCTGTATAAAATAAAAACAAAGAAAGACAATTTTACAGTTTAAAATATAAAATATCACAAAAAGTTATCACAAGTCTGGCCAACAGTTAAAAGGAACAAAATATTTACCACAAAATAGTTTTCAGTTATTACTAGGTAGGTACATCTTAATTTAGAAATTCATTAATCGTGTAAGGCTCTATTGAAACAAGATGCTGAAATAAAACTTTTTTAAAACAGTTATTTTTAATTTTAATTTTTGGGGAAGAAAGTTGAAGAGTTTTATACACATGTAGGTGGGTCCAGTCTCAGTGAAAGCGAGCCTGTGCACTGGATAGTTTAAGACAATTGACCTGGTGTTATGTTCGTGTTCTGGGAGATAGTTGAGAAACTTATCAAAGTTTTTATGTAGGAACATAAGACATTCATAGATATAGATACCTGGTAGTGTAAGAATATTTGTTTCTTTGAATTGTCCTCGGCAAGACTCTCTGTAGGACAAGTTAAGAATTTGTCTCAGCACACATTTTTGCATAACGAATGCATCTCCTTCGCATCCTGCTCTACCCCAGAATGTTATTCCATATCGTGCAAAAGAATAGAAAGTGGCATAGTAGACAGATTTTCTGTCTAGGAATTGTTTTAGAACACGGAAAGAATAGCAGGTGCTACTAAGTTTTTTAGAAAGAGCTTGATTTTGTTTGTTCCATTTTAGGTGGTGATCTATTTCTATTCCCAGAAATTTCACACTATCTGAAAGCCTTACATTTTGGGAAGAAATATTTAAACCTGTCGGATGGTTATTAGCTGACTGAAGGGTATGAAAACTCATAAAAATGGTTTTATCTGTGTTTAACAGCAATAAATTACTGTTGAACCAGTTTTGGGTTAGTTTACCAAGACAGAAAGTTGCTGGCTCTTCGAGTTGCAAGAGGCCATCTGCAGTGACACTGACATTTGTGTCATCAGCAAAATTGACTGTCTTTACATGATCGCTGGTTATATGTGTAGGGTACGAAACCTAATCGGTATCTGTATTTGTATTTATAGGTATAAGTATTTTTTTTCGTTTGTAATTATGTAAATATTATATTTCTTCATTTCTCCAAATAATTCTCTTCCGACTGTACCTATTTATTTTTACATAGACTGTACCGTCACGGTTGAATAGGCGAGGCGCGCTGGAGCTCGGGGTAGCAACAGGGCGACGAAAAGGGAATATCTCTATATAGGTTAATAGAAGAGGATAAAAGATACGAGCGGGAGCGATTCGCGGCGGTAACAGGGTGGCACCGAATGGCACGGCGCCAGTGGGGAAGTAGCCACGAGCGAATAATAAAAAAGGCGGGTTAATCGTTAATTGAACGCGGAAGGCGGAAGACGGCCGCCAGATTTATCCAAGACGGGGTAAATTCAAGACGCAGAGTTCAATTAATAATCAAGACGTATATTTCTAAAGCCGTAAAACGACCAAGACGTGGTCGTGAAGACGTATACTTAGTTGTGAAGTTGTTATTGTGATTTTCTGTGCCGATTGTATATTTATCAATGACGTATTTATCTACTACCTATCAAATCTATCTATGTTTCGTAAATATTATTAAAATTACTTATATTTTCAACGGACCGTTACGTTTGATTTTCTGCTTGCCCCAAAATACCCCTAGACAACGATAAAAATCCTACATATGGGACGAAAAATCGTTTATATAGACGACAAAGAGAATAGGGCCAATAACACTTCCCTGTGGGATGCCCCTGGTGACCTCCTTGCTCTCAGAACAAACAACCCTGCCGTCCTTTTGAATAGTTACCATCTGTGTTCTATTCGCAAGAT